TATTTTCCTCTATTAATGACGAGTAGTACGCTGCTCTGGCATTACGGAGGGCCTTCCTATAAGTTTTAAGACTATCTTGCCAAATTAAACGAGAATTTTCCAGTTTGGTGGGACGCCAATTCCTCTCAAGTTTCCGCGATATTTGCTTTAATTTGCGAGTTTCAGTATTATACCATGGAGCTAACCGTCTTTGTTTTAGTATTTTCTTTTTTAGAGGGGCTACAGAGTCGAGTGTCATTCGCAGCGAGCCTGCAGCACTATCAACAAGATGATCGATTTGGGAGGGACTGAAACTAGCATAGGAGTCCTTTGAGAGAGTGGGAGGAACACTCTGAGAGAAGCCAATGGAATCTAACAGAGAGATAAACGCAGTACTAAAGCTGTCATTCTCAACGTCCACATGAATATTAAAATCCCCTACAATAATAACTTTGTCCGTTTTAAGGACTAAAGTTGACAAAAACTCTGCAAATTCAGATAAGAATTCAGAATACGGGCCAGGTGCTCGGTACACTATAATGAAGAGAATTGGTTGCAGTGATTTCCAACTTGGGTGTGAAAGACCAAGAACAAGGCTTTCAAATGAGTTATAGTTTAGTTTAGGTTTAGAGCTGATTAGTAGGCTAGAGTCAAAGATAGCTGCAACTCCACTTCCTCGGCCTGTGCCTCGAGGAATGTGAGTATTAATATGACTGGGAGGGGTGGATTCATTTAGGCTAACATATTCTCCATCACCCAGCCAGGTTTCAGTAAGACAAAATAAATCAATATCATAATCTGATATTAGTTCATTTACTAGTACACCTTTAGAAGAGAGAGATCCACATTTAATTTTCCTATTCGTTTGCACTATTGCTCTTGTGGTTTTAATTTTTATGAGGTTTTTATGCACAGCTCCTCTTCTGTTTACCTTTGATTTAAATCATTTCGATGGTCGGGGGACAGACACCGTCACTATAGGATTTTCACTAAGTAACTCCTGAAATGGAGGAGCAGAGAAGTGTGTTAAACTGCGACTCTGCCTCCTGGTCTCAACTCTGGGTTGTCATGGATTTGGTCCACTAATAAACTTGGCCAGATTTCTAGAAATGAGAGCTGCTCCTTCCCAAGTGGGATGGATGCCGTCTCTCCGGATCAGACCAGGTCTTCCCCAGAAAGTCTACCAATGATCTACAAAGCCCACATCGTTTGCTGGACACCACCTCGACAACCAGCGGCGGAATGACGACATGCGGCTATACATGTCATCACTGGTCAGATTTGGCAGGGGTCCAGAGAAAACTACGGTGTCCGACATTGTTTTTGCATATGTACACACCGACTCAACATTAATCTTAGTGACCTCCGATTGGCGTAACCGGGAGTCAAATAAGACTCAATGTCGCCCGCTCTGGCCCCAGGGATGCATTTATCTATGGCCGCTGGCTTCGCTAACTTCACGTTTCTCAAAATGGAGCTGCCAATGATCAGAGTTGGTTTCTCAGCGGGTGTGTCGCTGAGTGGGGAAAATCTGTTAGAAACGTGAACAGGTTGATGGTGCCCCGTGGGCTTTGAATGCTTACGACTATTCCTCCTTCGGACAGTCACCCAGCCACCCCTTCCTGGCTGCTCAGGAAATCCCGGGGGACGGCTACCAGAGGCTAACTCAGGCCGTTCCGCAACGACTACCGGGGACTGGCTAGCTACAGTAGCTAAAGACTGATCTACCAAGGTGCGGAGCCGGACTTCTAAATCACTGAGCCTCGCCTCTATGTCTACAAATAAACTACATTACACGTACTATTAACGCTAAAGGAGGCAGAGGAGTAACTGAACATCTGACACACCGAGCAGGAGAAAGTAGGAGAGCGAGAGGGAGAAGGAGAAGCCATCGCTAGCTGCTAAGCTAAAGTCGCTAACAGCTAAGCTAAAGTACTGTAGCGTCAGCTACCAAAACTTTAGAACAACTATGAGATTGAACAGCGGTCACTAAAAGATGGAAAGAACTGTGAGTGCTTAGGCAAAATTACTGTAAAGAATAAGTGTTTAGCGAACAGTTGGCCGCTGTAATCTAACAAATGTAACTGGAATTTAACGAGAGCAGCACAACACGGTACCAACACACAAGCACCGGAAATGGAAATGAGTCGACACGCTTACCGCAATACGTCAGCAACCAGTCATCAGGTTGGATGGTTGACAGTGTCACATTGCAATTTGTTTGTTATGTCAGAAGCCTAATTTTTCAACACGCCAAAGTGGCCAATGGGAGAGACTCTGTTACCTGCCACGACATCAAACTACAGACCACATCCACAGCCCCCCCACCCCCATTAATAAACATGTCCACCAAACCAACATTTTCTCATTTTGTAGATTTCAGAAAAGCATTTGAGTCATTCTGGCATCACGACCTGTTCCTGAAGTTAACTGAAAAGGGGGGAAATAAGAAATGTGCCATTAAAATGGCAACAGATTTCCCCCCAGAGTGGAGGGGTGATCCCCCCCCACCACCCCCCACCACGATTAACATTTATATTGATGAAGTGGCAGAATCAGTAGAAGTCAGATTTCCCAGCAGGCATCACCCTCTGACAAAGAAATGAAACGCCTACTTTTTGCAGATGATCTAATGTTGCTAGTTCCATCGAAGGAGTCCTTTCAGCAGCACCTGATCATCTGCAAACTGCTGACCTGGGCCCTGATAGTTCATCTGGACAAGTCTTCCAAAAACAACCCAGGTGTCAGGGAAACCGGTTCTTACTGGGCTCCGCTGACAGAACACACAGCTCCACATATTTAGGAACAAAGATTATCTCTACAGGAAACTTTCACCTGCCTGTTAACGAGCTCAGAGACCAGGACCAACACTTTCTGGTCCTGGTCTGAAAAAGCCTTCAAACAGAATCAGCCACTATTCAAATCTATAATCCAACCACTTCTACTGGATGGTGGTGAAGTGTGGGGTCCTCTTGTAAACAAACACCCAATGGAAACCCTGCACCCTGAGCAACAATAGCTGCCGAGCTGAACTGGGCCAATTCTCCCTTTTAACAAGGAAACAAGAAAGATCAGATTTCACAAACACCTAAAAGCAAGTGAGCTCCTACTGTTACAAAGCTCTCCACTGCTGAGAGGAGAACACAGAGAGGCGTCCTCTCAGCCAGCTGATCCTGAGGACACCTCCTCTAACAGCTCAAGGCCTCAGAACAGCCCTCACAATCTTTTATACATGTGTACAAAGTAATATGAATGCAACAACTATATAGAGTTGTGGTTAGTTTGGGCTGCAGGTCTGTCTTGGTGGTTTTCTTTTCTTTGTTATGTCTGGTTCTGTTCTGATAATCTGGCTTAGAGCTCATCCTGCTGTGGGATAAACTTGCCACTGACTGTGAGCTCTCCTTGCGCTGGGTTAACTGTCTGCTGGTCATTATATTTACTGCATGTCAGCTAGTGTGTGTTTTACAGGACCATTGATATCTCAGCCAGCCTGTTTCTTTGTGCTTCACGTTGTTTTAATACAGAGTTTTTTGATTAATAAAGGTTTATATTTTAATGTAACTGCTTCCGGTCATACTGTCCTTCCGGGTGCAAGGGACCCGTTTGTGGCTCCAAGGGGGGGCCTCCATTTCTTAGCTGTCCATCAATTGTATTTCACCTATTTAACCTATTTACAGAGCTAGAGACTGACATAATGGACCTGTCCAGGGTGCAGATTGCATGTACTTCATTTATTTGTAGTATTTACAATGTGTTAGTGCTTAGTGTTTGGGCCCCTATGTACAAGCTTCAGATAGCTTAAAAAGGTATCCCTTTTATCAAGTCTGCATGATTTCTAATGATTATACTTGTATTTTAATGTTTGACTGTATTTTAAACTATACCGGACTGAACCAACCTGAACTGAGCTTGGCATCCTGCAGCCACAAAGACTAACCCAAACCCTGAAACTAATAAAAACTAAACTAAACTAGCAAACTCACGTTAAAAACTAATTATAACTAAACTGAAAATGAAAACAGAAAGTATACATATACATACATTAGATAAACATATACCTGCAGTGGAACTTCTGTCTCCCCCTTCTGGCAGTGACGTGTAATGGACGTTCATTTATCTGGAAAAGTCTGGCTCTTTTTTACACATAGAGAATTTTTAGCAGAACATAATCCCAGTAATCTCTCTGACCTAATCGTCCCAGACACACCAGCACGTCCCTTGAGATCCTCGGGCAGACGTCTGCTGTCTGTTCCAGAGTCTCCACTGAAAACTAGAGGGGACAGTTTGCAGTCGGGGCCCCGAGGCTCTGGAACAGCCTGCATGAGGAAATCAGGGCAGCTGAGTCAGCAAACTCTTGAAGAGCCTTTCCTGTTTGTAGTTGATTTTAATTATCTATTTTTCTTTTAACTGTATTTTAATTTCACAAATTTCCTCTGGCTTTTACTGCAAATGTTATTTTGTTTGCTGTGTTTTATTGTCTTTGCTCTAGTGAGTGAAAGAAACACTTTGAAACACTATTTTGAAAAGTGCTCTATAAATAAAGATTATTATTATTATATATATTATATTATATAATATTTTACCAATAGTAAGAGATCAAAGGTGGTTATTATGGAGAAAATGAATTTTTTAAAGCATATTAATTCATTTCAGGTTTCCTAGTAAAACATCTGGAAGTTAAACCAGTTAGTGTCTTCGTGTTACTGGGACAGACAGGAGGACAAAAGGTGAGTCAGAGGACTCAGCTCAGGTGAGGAGGGGACTGTAACACCTGACTCCCACCAGCAGAGGGCGTGCTGATGTCACAGTGTGTGTGTGTGTGTGTGTGTGTGTGTGTCTGTGTGTGTGTGGCGGTCTGTTCTGAGCGCACTCCATCTGCTGTGTTCAGGACTCTGATTATAACAACAAACTAAAAATTAATTTCACACCGACAGTTTCTCCTCCACGTGAGGTGATGGTGACGCCGCGCTGACTCACCAGTGTGTGTGTGTGTGTGTGGGGGGGGGGGGTATGAATGAATCAGGGACACTCTCTCTTCCTCCTCTTCCCTCCTTCCTCCTCTTCTGTCGTGACGTTCATTCAGGAGGAAACACCACAAACAGTCCTGAGATATTCTGAGAGACTTTACTCACTCCAGAGTGTGTGTGACTCAGGGAAATACCTCTGTGGACAGAGGGAGGGATTAACAGGCAGAGAGGTATAATTACAGTAACAGAGCAGAGAGGGAGAGTAGAGTGACCCTGCACACAGTGTTCATTCAGCTCAGACCACCAAACCATCAGGACCAGAACCATCAGCACTGGATCCAACGAGACGAGACCTGCAACACTCAGATCTAATCGGGACCAGATTCAAAGACCAGACCTGCTTTGTGCCCCTCTCTGCTGACAGCCTTTCAGGATTTGTAACTTCACTGTTAGTTGCTAAATTCTGCTGGACTCTGCAGGACTCTACTGAGGCCTTGATCTAAAGGGTCTTGAACTGTTCAACAGCTGCTTCCTGTTTCTGTGCTGAGTCCGAGGGGCCGACTGTCAGGAGCATCAGCGGCGGTCAGAGCCCATCATGTCCTGTCTGTTTGCCGTGATCTTCTTCGTAGCTGTCGGTCTTCTCATCGACGCCTCTCCGGCGGTCTCTCCGACTCCGGAGGTCGACGGGGTGTCTCGGCTCCAAGAGGGGGCGCCGTCCACGGACTGTCCGTCCTGCTCTCTGTCTCAGATGAGGAGGAACACGTCTTCGTTGGGAGGACAGAGCGACATGGTGGAGGCGGTGAAGCGTCACATTCTCAACATGCTGCACCTGAGCGCTCGGCCCAACCTGACGCACCCGGTCCCTCGAGCCGCGCTGCTCAACGCCATCAAGAAGCTGCATGTTGGCCGCGTGGCCGAAGATGGCAGCATAGAAATCCAGGAAGAGGGCCGGGGCCCCGGGGCCCGAACACCACCTGAGCCCCCGTCTGAGATCATCACCTTCGCAGAGCCAGGTGAGTCTGACAGAAACATCAGGTACACAGTTATTACCCAGATACCTGCAGAGGGGGATTATGGGTGACTGTAGGTCAGAGAGGAGGTGATGCTAACAATCAGCATCTGTTGCCAAAAAGAAAACCCAGAAAGGTTTTGCCCCCTTTCCCCCAAAAAAGAATAGAAAAACAGACAGACGAGCGTCTCTGAGCCGGTTCACAGTCCTGGTCTCTAACGGACTGGTCCTGGGTGTAAATCAGTCAGGAGACCCATCAGCTGCCCTGGACACACCGGCCTGTCTGTGTGCTGTTATCAGCTCCTTCACAAAAACCCAACAAGTTCAAAGTTTGTTTACAGATTTCCACAGTCAGAATCGATTGACTCGTCTGTTTCGACTGTTCTCTCACAGGAAATGTGGAGGTGAAGTTCATTTATCCACTGCTTTACAGCGTCATAACTGAACCTGAACACACCTGCGCAGCACTGATTGGTCAGCTGCATCTGTGCGAGGAAGACTCCGAGACCTCGGTCCTCTCAGAAACTCCAGATTTCATGTAGAAGAAGCTCTGGGTTTCAGTGTAAAGCGTCTGTAACGAGCCAAGTGCTCAGAGCGCTGCTTCAGCTCAGACATGAAACCTGACAGATGTGCTAAAGCTAGTTGGGACTGATCTGAAGTTAGGTGTGAGGACGGTTCAGTAATAACATGAGAAGTTTAAAGCCTGGACATACTGAAGGAGATTCCGCTGTCTGAAAGACAACAGATGACAGGCTACAGGAAAAGATGAATGTGCTTATTGATCTGAAGAGGGTCAGTGACAGACTGCAGAATAAATCCAACATTCTATTTAATAACTGAAACTGGAAGTTTAACGACCATCTCAGTTTAAAAGATTAAATATGTTGGTGAAGTTTCTGTGAACGTGAACCAGCTCGTGACCAGTCACATTTTTTGCTTACACAAATGTAAAGAATGGCTTTGTGCTATAAATAGTTTCTCTTTGAGAGGATCTTTAATTAAAAAGGTACCTCAAAGGATCGAAATTAGAGGACAGTAATGGGGAGGGGTGGGGGGGGGGGCATACCGAGTGGCCTCAGGCCGTAAATAATCTCCTCATTCAGACAAATCTGGGCCTCATTAATTATTCTGCAGAAAAGACAAAGAGTGTGTGTATGTGGCCTTGTTAACAGCATTCCCTGCATCCAGGCCTTTTCTTTTTTTAGGGTCTCTGCTCATGCTGAGTATATTTAGAGGAGTAGCTCCATTCATGCTTTTATCATTTGTGACATTTTCTTTGTTCATTCATCCAAATGACAGGAAGACAAAAAAGTTCAGACAGCAGGGTCACCGTTTCTTTAGGTTGTTCTTCAAACATCTCCCTCCGTTATTATCAACCCTTCAGTAAAACCTTTCTCCCTGTTTCAAACTCAAAGCTTCACCTCATTTGTACCAACACACTTTGTCAGTGAGTGAAGCTGAAGCTCTGTGTGTTGAAAGGTTACTGTTGGTTATCAGGTTTTCTTTCTCAACGGCGACCAGCAGCTCTACGGCTCGCTCTGTCAGCTGGTCGCTTTCCACTAAATGTCCCCACCCTGTGGAGCCCCAGGAGGTGGAAATCTGGCATGGAAGTTAAATGTGTGTTCTTTAAGGGGGCATGGCAGTGTTAGTGGCCTATCGCAATAAGGCACATAACTTCCACATGGATTCGCAGACTTGCACAAGAGTAGTGGACAGGTTGGTCGTGATCCAGAGGTCAGCTGATTAACTGCTGCTGCAGAGGGACAGGCAAGACGGATTCCAACGATACACCAACTATCTGCCACTTCCCCTTTTAGGACTCATGCAGCATATGTGAGGATGTGCGTGTGAATTCATGCAGAGAAATAAAGTCAGTTAGGTGATTCAGTTTATCAACACAGCTGTTTAAAGTGATGATTTGGGTAATTCCTGCTAACATGTTAACTGTGCTCTCTGCTGTAGGAGCCTCTGTGAACATGGTGACCTTTGACATTTCGAAGGAGGATGATGGCCCCTCGGTGGTGGAACAGGCGAACGTCTGGATCTTTCTGAAGGTGTCGAAGGGAATCCGAGTGAAAGGCAAAGTGATGATGCAGCTGCTGCAGCTTCGTCCTGAGGGCGAGGAGGAGGATGATTGTGTTTCAGAGAAGATGGTGGACACTCGTCGCAGCGGCTGGCACACCTTCGCCATCTCTCGCAGCGTTCAGACTCTGCTGGACAGCGGCGGGGGCAGCTCGCTCAGCCTGCGGATTTCCTGCCCGCTGTGCACCGAGGCTGGAGTCACACCCGTCCTGGTGCCTGCTGACGGCGAGCGAGCGAGAGAACAGTCACACCGACCGTTCCTCATGGTGGTGCTTCGAGCTCTGGAGGAGGTAACTCAACGACGAGTTAAACGAGGTCTGGAGTGCGATGGGAAAATACGCGTCTGCTGCAAACGACAGTTTTACGTGAACTTCAAAGACATCGGCTGGAACGACTGGATTATAGCGCCGTCTGGTTACCATGCCAACTACTGCGAGGGCGACTGTCTGAACCACATGGCGAGCATCAGCGGCTCGTCCCTCTCCTTCCATTCAACGGTCATCAATCATTATCGAATGAGGGGCTACGGCCCCTTTCAAAACATCAAGTCGTGCTGTGTGCCGACGAGGCTGCGCGCAATGTCGATGCTGTACTACAACGAAGAGCAGAAGATCATCAAGAAAGACATAGAGAACATGATTGTGGAGGAGTGCGGCTGCTCGTAAAGATGTTAGAAACACTTCCTGCTTCCTGCAGGAAAAGCATTTTCCCAGTCAAGATAAAGCATTTATGTTTAGTGATGAAGCATCGTATTTCTTATTGGAAGAGACTCTTTTCCACATTGGAACGACCTGAGAATACTATGCAACTGCTCCTGCAAAGTTAAACTTTCTGTCTACATTTATATGTGTAGTTTGTCTTTTGTATTCCATTGTGTGTCTATTGTTTTCTATTGTTATAGAAAACGTGAGAGGATCACATTTGATATGTCAACCTATGTAAAAAAAATCTGACATCAGGATACTTGAAATCTGTTCAAACGGCTGCTGGAGCCAAACATCATCATTATTCATTATTTTTATAATTATTATTAATATTAAATAAGTTCAATGTTGATATTTACACAACATTCCTGGCAGAGATTCAGAAAGAGACGAAAGCCAAAGACAGTCAACACTGATGAAAGTTTGGTTCACTGAAGTACAGACTAACAGTATAATAGTGAGTAAATGAGCTGGACAAAACGTCAGTAAACGAGCTGCGAGTAAATGAAGTGGATGAAGTCTTAGTTAACGAGCTGAGAGTAAATTAACTGGGCGAAGCGTCAGTTAACGATCTAAAAGTAAATTAAGTGGATGAAGTCTTAGTTAACGAGCTGAGAGTAAATGAAGTGGGTGAAGCGTCAGTTAACGAATTGAAAGTAAATGAAGTGGATGAAGTCTTAGTTAACGAGCTGAGAGTAAATGAAGTGGGTGAAGTGTCAGTTAACGATCTAAAAGTAAATTAAGTGGATGAAGTCTTAGTTAACGAGCTGAGAGTAAATGAAGTGGGTGAAGTGTCAGTTAACGATCTAAAAGTAAATTAAGTGGATGAAGTCTTAGTTAACGAGCTGAGAGTAAATGAAGTGGGTGAAGTCTTAGTTAACAAGCTGAGAGTAAATTAACTGGATGAAGCGTCAGTTAACGAGCTGAGAGTAAATGAAGTGGGTGAAGTGTCAGTTAACGATCTAAAAGTAAATTAACTGGATGAAGCGTCAGTTAACGAGCTGAGAGTAAATGAAGTGGGTGAAGTCTTAGTTAACAAGCTGAGAGTAAATTAACTGGATGAAGCGTCAGTTAACGAGCTGAGAGTAAATGAAGTGGGTGAAGTCTTAGTTAACAAGCTGAGAGTAAATTAACTGGATGAAGCGTCAGTTAACGAGCTGAGAGTAAATGAAGTGGGTGAAGTCTTAGTTAACAAGCTGAGAGTAAATTAACTGGATGAAGCGTCAGTTAACGAGCTGAGAGTAAATGAAGTGGGTGAAGTGTCAGTTAACGATCTAAAAGTAAATTAACTGGATGAAGCGTCAGTTAACGAGCTGAGAGTAAATGAAGTGGGTGAAGTGTCAGTTAACGATCTAAAAGTAAATTAACTGGATGAAGCGTCAGTTAACGAGCTGAGAGTAAATGAAGTGGGTGAAGTGTCAGTTAACGATCTAAAAGTAAATTAAGTGGATGAAGTCTTAGTTAACGAGCTGAGAGTAAATGAAGTGGGTGAAGTCTTAGTTAACAAGCTGAGAGTAAATTAACTGGATGAAGCGTCAGTTAACGATCTGAGATTAAATGAAGTGGACAAAGTCTCAGTTAACAAGCTGAGAGTAAATTAACTGGACTAAGCGTCAGTTAACGATCTGAAAGTAAATTAAGTGGATGAAGTCTTAGTTAACAAGCTGTGGACAAAGCGTCAGTTAACGAGCTGAGAGTAAATGAACTGGACAAAGTCTCAGTTAACGAACTGCGAGTACATGAAGTGGATAAAGTGTCAGTTTACAAGCTGAGAGTTTTAGTGTAAATTATTTTCCTGGTGAAACATAACCACATGGAAAAATGTTCATCAGTTTGTGTTTGTTGTTTGATTATTAAAAAAAACAAGAAATGTTGTGAACTTGATATAATTTATTTGTTTATTTGCTTTTTAGCTTCATCATTAAACAAACTATCATCATTTTATCACTTAGTCCACATCAGCTGATCAGGGTCACTTTAGTCAGCTGTGAGTACGTTCACTGTGAGTGGGAATGAAAAAAAGCCATCATCAATGGAACTACGATTCACCATGGCAACGGGTTAATAAAGAGCAGAGCCTCCATTTTAATGCAGCAGAGCCAGAAATATGAATGCGTGACATTTATCTTAAAAACAGGAGTGGAGGAAGGATCAATAAGTCAAACTATTACTCATTCACATTTCCCAGACCTTTACAGAAAGTTTACCGGACCTGTGATTGTAAAGTCTGAACCACTATAGTACAGTAGTTATTTTGTTGATCTGCAGTTGAAAATGTTTCAGACGTCTATGTTACATTAAAAACACGCTCATTTCGCTTTTAATGAAATATTGTCATAACAGACTTGCAGCTAATATGCCAAAACTCAAAAGTTGGTACGCTGTGTAAAATGGAAATAGAAACTAAATATGATGATGTGCAAAACACTGAAATCCCATTCTCTGAAATCAAAAAAAGACAAGTTGTGAAATATAAATATAAAAAGAAGAATCTCTACACACGGGACAAGGCTGAAAACCAATACTGGATGGCTGTGACCTGCATCCAAAACAGTTCTGTAGTGGACTACACTGCATGGGCTGAGTTAAAAGACACTGAACACAAATGCAAGCTGAAACTCTACCATGTAAAATTCAAAATGGGTACATCATTTTCCAAAAATCAGTTTTGCATCATCACATTTTGTTTCTATTTACATTTTACACAGTGTGTAAACTTTTTGGGAGATGAGGTTGTACATTTAGTCCAGTTTCAGAATCTGATAAGAATTCAGACTAAATGTGAAACTCAGATGGGTCCGATGATATTTGGGCTGTAAATAAAAAAAACAGCTGTTGTCCTTCTGTTGTTTGGTCCTGACCGACTCGTATGTTTGAGGATGGCCTCTATGCCTCCTATTTACGTGATTTTTGATTTCAGATATCAGGATCAGGTCGGAGCTCCGCTCTGCTTTCACACTTCCACAATAGGCAGAGTGATGTAGAAACCTTTGTTTGCAAGTACGAACTGGAGCAATGGCCAGTAGACTGAGAGGCTCCTCCATTTCCTCCTCAGTCTTCTAAATGCAGGACCGAGCGGCTGGTGATGTTGGTAAGGTCAAACCGTCGAGGAGAAACAGGGCAGCCACAGCCGGGTGGAGCGGCGACACTCTGTTTGTTCACTGACCTACAAACTCATCTCTGAGTTGACAAGTTGATTTAAGAAACACAAAGACAGCTACTGAGGCAAACACAAAGCACTATGGGTACTGAAGCGTGTCATGATAACAGAAACACCTCCTAAAAAAAGCCTGAAAAATATTATATGTACATGTATCAGAACTGATCTGAGAGCTTTACTCCGAAGACAAAAACACCTGCTGCATACACTTTTTTTAGGTAATTCATTTTTTAGGTTAGAGTCACGATCATAACATCATAACAGGCACCTTCTGGCACAGACTATGATTCTTACTGCTGAACCAATAATAGCTGCAAGCGTGTAGGCCTGGGGGTGACTGCGAAAGTATGCATGTTTGTCTTACTATATAAGATATTATGTTATCATATTTAGCCATTTTGCTACAATTTATGCTTCACACAACAGCTGTGTTTGCGACCTGACATTTCTTTTCTCCGTGAGATTGAAGAATTTAGAAAGTTGCATGTTGCTGCAGCAGTGCATGGATCATGCATAATATTCATCCAGCCAGAGGGAACGAACGACAACCCATGCCGGAGAGGACGTGGGCCGGACCAGGGACAGGAGATCACGTAGCGACCGGCCCGCTGTAGACGGTCGTTGATCGTTCTCTCTGGCTGAATGAAGTCTGACGCTCCGTGTGATCCATGATGACAGAGAAATATAGAGATTAATGTCAATAAAGCAAGCTGTGTAGCGCACAGAAGCCATTGCCATGGTTACTATCCATAGAGCGCCCGCCGTTTACTTGCGGAGCGCTTGTCTCCAGTTGTTCACCTGAGAAGAGCAGAGCGACCCCGCGGGGCCAAGTGACTACATTGTGATTTGAAGAACGTTCGTAAGACTGACATCTTCCCCAATACTAAACAGCATGCAGTGTGTAGCTCTCCACTTCGTTGTGGTGTTTGATCGCTTGTCTTGCTTTTGTTTATCTACTTCTCCCACACGCTGCATCTAGCGTAGCCTGCTGAAGCCTCCCTCCACTGTGTCTGGGTGGCGGATTTGCAAGCTGATCCACATCCCCCCCTCCTGTGACCCATGGTTTGACTGGATGTGTATTCAGAGCCAGTGAGCAATGGACTTTCAGAATAATAATAATAAAAACTGCGTTAACGTGCGATAAAATAACTGTTGGTGTTAATTAATTAATGCGTTAATGACACATTAACGTGCCCAGCCCTATACTTTACATAAATTTGGATTTGGGAAGTGACTGAAACATTATTCAGTTCCCAAAGAGCTTCTGTCAGGACAAATGATCATCCTTTTCCAAGCTTTAGTCTTCAGAGGGGTACCAGGCAGGGTTGCCCACCCCTTTTCTCGCTATTCGCCATTTTTATAGAGCCGCTAGCAGCTGCTATCGGACAAAATAAAAATATTGAATGAATTCAAACAGAAAATGTACACCACAGGATAAATCTTTATGCAGATGATGTTTTACTTTTCCTCCTAAATTCACAAACTTCTCATCCATCTTAGACTACTCCGTTCATTTGAGTAAATCCATATTTTTATCTGTAATGTGTGATTTCCAGAGTATATCTACCACATCGCAACAATCAGGGAATATTAAATATCTGGGTGTCAATATTTACTCCAGGCTGTCAGAACTGACAGGGCTAAACTACATACCTCTACTTAAATCAACAGAGGATGACCTTGTGCGATGGACAACATCGCCCATATCACTCATGGGAAGAGTTGCCACCATAAAAATGATGGTCCCACCTAAAAAATACCTAAAATGGCCAAACCCTCTGCTGTCTGGTTTAAGTCACTGGACTCAAACATCTCAAAATTTTTGTGGAAAAATAAACCCACATGAATCAGTTTAAAAACTCAGCAAAAAGCAAAAGATTGTGGTGGTTTAGAACTGCCAAATTTTGCAAATTACTTCCTGTCCAACAGACTACAATATATTTTAAAATGGATCAATCTAAGCTCCCTGGAACAATCATGGATGGACATACAAAAAACATTCTGTAAGGAAATCAAACTTTTCAATATGCCAGCATTAACATAACTTCCCTGGCAGCTGGTGGGAATTTCTCAAAATATCTGGGTCTTCACCTATCCCATGGAGACTTAAATTCCCCATTGCACTATGATAAAGGGATAAAACATCTAGAGCATGTAATGCAGTGTAGTAACTTTATTCCATTCCAGGATCTAGTGGCACAATATGGAATTAGCAATAATGGAATTGAATATCAACAATTCAGGTGAGAATTAAGGATAACGAACTTAGAATAACCTCCAATGATAACAGACTTTCACCCCCAAAATTATTATCAAAGATAAACATGTTACATGTTAAACAGATGGTTCTCACCTCCCATTCATAAAGTGGGAGACCGATATATCCAATAGTCCAGATCAAAACTTCTGGATGGAAATATGTTTAAACACTTGAATGAATGATTTGAAAGCCTTGTTCTTAGTCTTTCAGCTGAGTCAGGCTTTGAGAGTCATAGCTCTATTGAGCCAAGTATTCCCATAGCTCCCAAGCTTATCGGAATCGGGTTTATTGCCAGGTACATTTTTACATACGAGGAATTTGCCTTGGTATAAATTGGTACTTACAGTACACATAATAAAGTAATAGAAATATATAAAAAGTAAGGAGATCAAAAATATGTTTACAAGTATACAAAAAATATAAAAAGATACAACAATACTATAATACAATGCTGACAAGTATGTGCAAAAGTTGGCAACATGAGCATAAAGCACAGTTGTGCTTGCGTTGCGTTGTTGTAAAGTGTGGGGTCAGGAGAGTGTATGAGTGTGTGTGAGTTTGGGGAGGGGGGCATGAGCGTCACTGACAGTGGGGACCCGGGCCTTGTTGAGGAAGCCCACTGCCATCGGAAAGAAGCTGTTTTTGTGGCGAGAGGGTTTGGTCCTGATGGACCGCAGCCTCCTCCAGAGGGGAGAGTCTGAAACAGTTTGCGTCCGGAGTGGGAGGGGTCAGCTGCAATCTTTCCTGAAGAGAAGGAAGATTGCAGCCAATCACCTTCTCTGCAGAGCGAACGATACACTGCAGCCTGTCCTTGTCCCTGGCAGTGGCAGCAGCGTACCAGATGGTGATGGAGGAGGTGAGGATGGACTCAATGATGGCGGTGTAGAAGTGCACCATCATTGTCTTTGGCCGCCTGAACTTCTTCAGCTGCAGCAGGAAGTACATCCTCTGCTGGGCCTTCTTGGTGAGGGAGGTGATGTTCAGCTCCCACTTGAGGTCCTGGGAGATGATGGTGCCCAGGAAGCGGAAGGAGTCCACAGTGGTGACTGGGGAGTCACACAGGATGATGGGGGAGGGTGGAGCTGGGCTCTTCCTGAAGTACCATCTCCACGGTCTTCAGAGCGTTGAGCTCCAGACTGTTCTGGCTGCACCAGGTCACCAGATGGTCGATCTCCCACCTGTAGATGGACTCGTCCCCACCAGAGATGAGCCCAATGAGGGTGGTGTCATCTGCAAACTTCAGGAGCTTGACAGACTGGTGACTGGAGGTGCAGCTGTTGGTGTACAGGGAGAAGAGAAGGGGGGAAAGAACGCAGCCTTGAGGGGAACCGGTGCTGAGGGTCCTGGAGTCAGTGTCAGTGATCCACCTGCAGGTGGAGTCAGGCACGTTCAGCTGAGACAGACCTGTTGGCTCTGTAGGCGAACTGCAGGGGGTCCAGAAGTGGGTCTGTGAT